AAAAAGTTGAAGAACTTTATTCCAGGTAAGTTTGTTCAAATTCTTAATTTTTTAATTTTAATAACACAAAAAAACCCGAACTGAAAGTAAAAGAACCTACTTTTTAAAAAGATAATAATTATAAAGATTTTAAAATGATGTCCTTAAAACTTTATGAGAATGTTATCATTTAATTAAATTTAAAAAAATGAGAAATTCACTTTACCAGAATTTATTTTCCAAAAGCTTCACTTATTTTTGTTCACAGAAAATTAAAAGGCATTAAAATAAGCAAAATTGGATTAAAATAATAAGCGTTGCAACTTATTTTAATGCCTTTTAATTTTCTGTGTTATATATGGTTTCGTTGATATTCTTTTATAAAAAAAAATAATTTATGTAATACTTGCATAAAAAAGCCTAACTTTTGACGCATGGAAAATCTGAGAAAAAATGCGTTTTTTAGTAGAGGATGTTATAAATACCACCGAGCATGTAAATATCACTTCTGGTACTTTTATTCCACGATGTTACGTTTTGTCAAACTTTTTTAACACACTAGTTTTTTTACATTCTAATCATAAATGATAAGGTTGAATTTACATGTTAATGTAAATGCAGAATGCAAAACCGAAAATAATGAGAGTGAAAAGGACAGGGATATATCACTATCCTTTTCACTCTCATTATTTTCGGTTTTGCATTCTGCATTTACATGTAACTCCACCCTAAAGTTTTTTTTTGTAACGATCATTTGAATTACGTAGTGCAAAATGCACCGAACGCGCAATCTGTCGAGAAAACTACTAAAAGTGACAGAAATCTCTTTAGCTAGTAGTTTTTTACTTTTGCAACATTCATCTTCAGCTGGTGCAAAAGGCACAATGAGTTGGAGCCAAGGATGAAGTGCAATTCTGTTATCGACGTTAACGCGCTATGAAAAATTAAGGTGTGACTGGATAATTCTACAAGGAAAGAAAAAAAGGCTACGATAGCCAGAGACCCAAGTAGTAACTGCCTGAAAGACTAAAGTAATAGAATTAAAGTCAACATAACTTCAGTCACAAGTAGGCCGAAAATCACAGAGCGCTCGTTTTACGTTACAAATTTAGAAACCAATTAAAAAAAATAAATTTAAATATAATTAAATGATAATTTCAATTTCTTTCTACATATTTACTTGTATATATGAGAGATCTATACATTTTTTCCGATATAACGAAAACATTCTGAAGTGAAACAAAAATAATAAGTGTAGCAGTCAAAATTATAGAGGATTATAAATTAACTAAGTATAAAAATTAGTATTTTTAAGAGAAAATTCATTTTTGAACAATCTTTTTTTAGAAAATTTAAATAAATCTTTCTGCTCCTTGGTTTTTTAGGTCGCTCATTACGATTCTGAAGTTAGTTTTTAAAAATTCAAAATGGTGTATTCAAACATTTTTGACGTCATATTTTTAGCATTTAGAGGTATTCTGAAAGGATATAAAGATTTGAAAAAATTATAAAAACTGAACAAAAATTCTAAAAAAATTTTTTAGTGCTTGTAAATTGTTTATTTTAAATTTTTTGGTTCTTTTAGTACGCCATTTGATAGAGCCTCAAAGTACTTGTAAAAATTTCGTTAATGGGTTAATGCAAGCCTACTTTTCCTATTGTATGTTTCTAATTTTCGAGCGTGAAACGCGAGTGCCGTGATGAGAATGTTATCCTTAAAGTCAAAGTACTTTAAGAAAATGAAATTTCATTTATAATAAAAACCAAAAATTTAACTTATATCAATTGTACAAAAAATTTTTAGGAATAAAAACATGAGGGACAAAACTCATATAATAAATTTGTTGCTTCAAAAATGCATTTAATTTAAAGTTCTTTTTCTTAATATTTAAAAATTTTCAATTAATTTTTTCTTTTACTCAATTGAAATTAGTTAGAAACGGAATAACTTATTTTATTAAAATAATTAAAATAATTTGGTGTGTCGATTTTCTTTAATTACAAAGACCAGGCCAATCCACGGCGCAAAATTAAGGAACAAAGATGAAACAGCTGCATTGCCACCATTCTCTTTTTTTGCTCAATAAAAAATTTATTCTAAGACCTTACCTATTTGTATAATTTAATTTAACGCATTTTATTAAAAACTATAAATTGTTTCTAATAAAGTTTTCAAAAAAGGACGATTATATGAAACTGCCCTTTTAAAGTAATTACTTTTGTACTTATTTTAACTCTGCGTGTAATTAATTTAACTCTTTTTAATAAAATTAATAAAAATAATTTCCTTCTTCCTCTCATTTTTCTTCAAAATTTAGTTAAAACAACTACAAAGTCTCAAACAAATACAAAATCTCATTCTACCAAATGGATTCTTCGGTCATTCAACTACTTTCTAATAGAATAATTAATGCAATTTTTAAATTTAATTGAGAAATTTTTGAATCATACAGTGTAGTTAAAAAGTAATTAATGCTACTAGGTTTTGAAATGTAATAAACAAACGGCGCGCGCAGCGCGATGTTTGGACAATACGCGCGAAGCGCGCACCAGTACCGGACCGCGAAGTGGGACAATCATCTTTCGCACGCCCCGGGCGCGCTCAAACTTGCGAGCGAAGCGAGCCCCTACGCGCGAAGCGCGTGATGAGAATGTGGCCGCCCCCGTAGGGGGCTGCCGGATTTTTTAAATTTATTTTTATTTTTTTTTAAAGTTAAAAATGTGCATTTTTAGCTCAAAAAATATTGAGATGTCCTTATAAACGAATAAAGGTATCGTAATTCTGACGTTACTAAATGAAAGTTGACAAAATTCCGCATCCAACGAGCCCTATATGAAGTACTTTGGGTTAGTGGATAGTTAATAAACAATTGGCTAACATGGCAATTGATTATAAAAAAATCCTCCAATCTAACATAGTCCATATAGGGCTCGTTGGATGCGGAATTACGTCAGCTTTCAATTGGTATCTTCAGGATTGCAATAACTTTATTTATTTGTGAAATATTTCATTTTTTATTAACATTAATTAATTAATTAATTAATTAATATCTCGAAAATAACAAAAAAGGACATCTCAATATTTTTTATGGTGAAAAAACACATTTTTAGCTTTCAAAAAAAAATAAATAAAAAAAATAAAAAGGACTGAACTTAAGAGAAAATTCGAAAAAATGTTTAATTTTCAAAAAAAGGGTCAAAATTTGAATTTTTTAAAAAAAGTTTTGCACCATTTGAACACAGCTGTCGGGAAGAGACGACAGGTTTAACTAAAATGTCGACAAAAACGTAAAGCACAGTTGTATTTAGTGATGTTTTAGGAGTAAGAATCCGTTGGAATTAAAATCCTAGCTGATCCTTTTTTCGAGTTATGTTTAAATTTAGATTTTAATAAAAGCTTGAAAAAAATGAAACAGTTTTTTTTCAAACTAGACTAATTTTTTAGAAACAATTAAAGTTACTTAGCAACTGCAATTGTTTTTGTTTCCAAGGAGACTCAGTTTAACCTTCTAAAATTTTATTGAGGTTACCAATAGTTTTCGAATAAAAGATATCAATGGTTCTGTGTCTTAAGATATTGTTAGAAAGATGGAAAATTTAGTCCCACATAAGAAAATTGATCTTAAAAAAATTATTTTATTATTTATTATTATTACTATTTTTAATTTGAATCAGTTTAATAAACAAATTAATTTAAGAAATTTTAATTTTCAAAAATGAAAAAAAAAATTTCTTAAATAACCTTTTCATCTCGAATAGGAAATACTCTTTGCGCATACGTGGTCGCCATCATGACAGTTCCCGCAAATATCATAAACTTGGTCATTTTTTTCTGGCCAACATGTGTGCTGCATGTATTCCTTTTTTAAAATTTAATATTACTGAAAACGATATACTAGAGGCTAAATTAAAATATAATGATATTGAGGCCAACAGTACTCTTGAATTAAGAAGGTGGTTGAATTGTAGAAAACAAGATACGAAAGGGAAAAAAAGGACTTGGTTGCAGGGTAAGCATTCGAGTGTTTACTATTGTCAGTGTTGCCAAGTTAGTGGTTTTCCCACTAAATTTAGTAAGATTTTGGTCCTTCAGTAACATTTTTAGTAGGAAATTTAGTATCTTTTTTTTACTGGTTTTTTTAGTGTTTTTACCTAAATGTAATTTTTTCTACGTAAATTGTATCTGAAGTATTAAAAGTGTGGTCACTAAGTATAAACTATTTAAGTGAATTTGATTGGTTACACTGATGGCGATTGAGCAAATGTTCAGACTGGGCCAATCAAAATTAGTCACACAGTTCTATAAGAAAGGATGCTCTTCTACGTGCCAAGCCCTGCACTGCTGTTTAGTACAGTTTATTGGTGAAGTTTATTTTATTAATGCAATGTCTATTCCATGTTCTTAAGTTCATAAATTTTATAAATAAATTGTAACTGGAATTAATATTTAAATAAATGAAATTCCAAAAAAATATCTATCATTATTGTTATATATTTATTACCTTGAACTATATTAAATTTTATTAAACTATTGTCTAAGTTTAAATAACTTTTGCATAATTAGTGTCAAAAAATTTTTAATTTTGCGTTGAGTTAAGAATTTTTACGTTTTCTATTTATTTATTTATTTTTATTTTTCTAGTGAAAATTAGGGGAAAAAATTTTTTGTGAAAAAAATTTATTTTTAGTGGAAAATATCTAGCCATCTAGGGGGAAAGTGCCATAGGCATCTGACAACACTGACAGCGACACACTCAACAATTCATCACGCGCGCAACACTCTTTGAAGTGCGTGTACGCAACAATATTCACGAAATTCTCATTGCATGTAGTCGTTCTCATCGGCATTTAATCAAAAAGTGTATTAATTAAATTTATTGAACTTCTGAAGTAAAAACTCAAATCTCGGTTTCTCTCAATTTAATTAGAGATCGGTTGGGAACCACAGCCCAAGCGTTGGTGTTATTGCACGCTGCAGCTCAATTGTCTAATTTTAGTAGCAGTATAAAAATCAATGTTACCTGTATTAGTCTTATTTCATTATTGATAGCGTCTAATTGTTCTTGTAACATCATTGCAAGTTGCTGAGTGTCAGTGTGACCAGTTGAACTGATTACATCAGCAGCTGAACTGAATATACTTTCATTGTCAACATCACCCTCAGCATCGCTAGAAACGTCGAATGCCTGTTGAACATTTGCAAGAACATGAGCCTGTTGCAATTTTTCCCATTCTTGTTCCGCCAATGTTCTTGCCACGTATCCCTTAAAAACCAGAAATTTATGACAATATGTCTAAAAGTTAGAAATATCTTTAAAGAAACCCACATACCTTTGATGCTTCTTCATCCACTGACCTCCTTACCCCTCTCCTGGGCAACGAATGTGTTTCAAAACTGCCGTGGCTTGCACTTCTTGAGAAAGCTACTGAATCTACTGCATTCGGTGAAAGACTTCTGGTAAGCGCATCAGTTTGCTGAATATTAAAAGCGATTTCTTGTTGCAGCATTTGCCTCTTTATACTATCTATTTCCAGTCGAGCCTTTCCTAATTCCTTAACTAAATCTGCTTTTTCACTTTGTAAATCTTCTATTACTTTTCTTGTTCTTTCCAATTCTTGCTGAAGAGCATTTTTTTCTTCCAATGCATTCATTCTTTCTTTAAGATGAACTTGTAACCTTTCATTCGATTCTGTCAAGACATTAAATAAAAAGATTTATAATTTATAAATAAAATTATGTTGAGATCTTTAATGAATTACAATAAAAAAGTTAATATTAAATCTAAAAATACAATTACTCGCAATGAAATTCACTATTTTAAAACAACCTTTTCAGTTTAATTGAAACAAATTGAGGGTGTACTTCCGAAAAGGTCCCCCCTTTAAATTTAATAAAACACGGGTATTCTTACATATTTTGGTGCATAGATTACGAAAATCATAGTAAAAATTGGCGCAAATTTGATTATCATGGTAAAAACCGTAAAAAACACCATAAAATCATGGTTTTTTGCTATTAACTTGTAAAAATCGCAAAATTTCGAAAAATGTTTTAGACAAAAGTTGTAGATCTCAAAAAAAACACACATTTTATGTTTTATGCATTTTTTACCAAAAGTCATTATTTTTTGAGAAAAATCCAAAAAACACCATGATAATGAAAACATATACAGCAGTCACGGTTAGACATATTATTTGACTCGTATATAGTATCATATTCACCATTACTCAGGATCCAACGAATTCCGCAAAATACTTTCGGTCATATCCACCCCCTCTCGCCAAGGTTTTTTTAAAAAGAAAAGCGAGCAGTACCTTACGCGTCCGAAGGCCGTGTTTACTATTTTGCGTTTACCGCTGCTGTAGACTCCACCCCACAATTTCCGCAAATTACTTTCGGACCATTTTTCTCGAAAAATAATGACTTTTGGTAAAAAATGCATAAAACATAAAATGTGTGTTTTTTGAGATCTACAACTTTTGTCTAACACTTTTTTCGAAATGTTTTGTTTTTTACGAGATAATCGCAAAAAATCATGATTTTATGGTGTTTTTTATGGTTTTCACCATGATAATCAAATTTGCGCCAATTTTCACTACGATTTTCGTAATTTACGCACCAAAATACGTAAGAATACCTATGTTTTATTAAATTTAAAGGGGGGACCTTTTCGGAAGTATATCCCAAATTGATTAGTATACATATATATATATATATATATATATAAAGTTTATATTTTACTTAAAATCTATAAATTTAATCATTTTTTAATTTTTGAAAAAAATCGTTCATCTCATTTTTTGAAATAACTTTTTTCTTCATGAAATTTCTAATTTTTGTCAAAGATTTATTCCTTACAAAAAAACGAATCGATTCATGAATATAACCCAAGTAGAAATGTCCGTAGCTTGCCGGAATTAAACACCAGCATGGTACTGACCCAATACTGGCCGTCGGTATTGACTTTCAGTACTGGCAGTACACTGCCATACACACCGAATCAGTACTATGTCGGAGGTAAAAAAAAAATTAAAACCAGTACTGGCAGTAGACTGTCATACACGCCGAATCAGTACTATGTCGCTGGTAAAAAAACATTAAATTAAAAAGTATTAAAATTATTCTAATAGGTAGAAAACGATGATTTTTTATTAAGATTGTATATTTAATTAATAATAAACGACAAATAGTTCATTCTTTGTGTTTCCATTTTTGTTGTTAAAAGTAGAATATCTCAAATTTATTATCACACACCTTAGTACTCGACAGTTCTTCATAATTCAATATATTTTGTGGATTATTAAATTAAATTTTCAAACTTTTTTACCATTTATATTTTACAGTCGTCCTTTTTTTAACTTATTTTTAATTATGTAATTCATCAATCATTTTTTTTTGTTTTAATATAATTATTTACGGTATGCGTATCCGATTAGCGTTCTAAGGGTTCGATCCCCCATGCGTGCGAGATTTTTCATTCTTAGTTTTAAGTGTTATAAGTGCAATATTTGTTAATATGCAATATTAATTATTAAATTAACTATAAGTGCGAAGTAACAAATTTAAAAAAAAATTAAATAATATGAATTAAAAAAAAATCTACAATACAAAAAATATTTTTTGTAAAATAATTCATTAAAAATAATACAATTTAATTAACATAAATGATAATTATTATTTATTATTAATAATAGTTTAAATATTTTAAATAAAATTAATTATTAAATGTAAAAATGGGAGTAATAAGATCATAAGGATGAAATTTGCAATGGAAAGCGTGTAATAGCACTTTGTAAAAAAAAGTAAGATTTTAACTCTGGATGAGTTCTTTGCCAGTATTATTTCTTTACTAAGTTAGAACTACGTTAGTACTGGTGAGCGAGACAAAATCAGTACTGAACAGCGTTACCAGCCAGGGGTGGCCTACTACTGGCCCAGTACGGCAGTCAGTACTGTTATTCTGACTGTCAGTGTTGGGTCAGTACTATGCCAGTGGCAGATTTCTACTTGGGAAAGTATATATTTTACCGATATAATTTTTATTTAAAATAAATAAAATTTTGGATTGTTTTAAAATCTTGTTTTAACACTTAAAATAATTATTGTTCAGCGAAGAAAAAAGCGATTGGCATATATGAATAAAGTTTATATTTTCGGAATATTTAAAAAATTTTGAAATTTGAATTTTTAAAAATTTTTTTGGTTTTTTTATACAACGTACTTTTATGAATTTTGAAAAACTGCTTACGAAAATCATAGTGACAATTCCCGAAAATTTTATTTTTACGGTGAGAACCATAAAAAAGTCATAAAATTTATGTTTTTTTTCGTTTATTGGGTAAAATATGCATAATTTTTAAAAAATGTATAAGATATAAAAAACTTTTTTATGGTTTTCACCTTAAAAGTAAAATTTTCGGGTATTGTGACTATAATTTTCGTAAGCAGCGCATAAAAATACATAAAGGTACATACTATATAAAAACCAAAAATATTTTTAAAAAATTCTGAAAATATTGTAAAAATTGTTTGTCCATGATCAGACTAGACTTGAAATTTTCGTAAAAGAAAGTAGGTTTTTAAAAAAAAATCGATCAATAGGTATAGTTTTGCGTAGCGAAAGAAATTTCCTGGCGAAAACTAAATTCAAGTCCATGTAAAACCGCGTAATCGAAATGTAAAATTATTCGTTCCAACCGGAATATTTTGTATTAATTCGCATCTTATCGTTCTAACGATATCACGAGCGTATGATATTGTTCTGACCACGTTTTTCTTATGTTAAATTATCAATTTAATTCATATTATTCTTTTATGGAAATTTTATGGTTCATCTATTCGCCGCTAGGTGGCTACTTGATGCACATGCTTGTGCTTAATTCCGCAATAAATAGTTCAGTTTAATTGACCTAGTTATCATTTATTTATATATTGAGTGTTTTATCGTTTGCGCGATTTTTTGGAATTGTTTTCAACAGTTATTTTTGTTGTTTATCATTTACGTACACTTGTTTTTCCGTCCCCTTCTTTTAAGTCTCATTCATTCATGGAAATATACTACCAGAATGTCAGGGGTGTACGAACTAAAACTCACCAGCTCCGTGAATGTGTCTCTCTTAATGGTTATAGTTTATATATTCTAACAGAAACTTAGCTGAATACAAATATAAATACGCAAGAATTAGGTTTTAAAAAATAATATGATGTTTATCGTTTCGAGAGAAATAATAATACTAGTGTAAAATCAAGAGGTGGTGGTGTACTTATAGCTGCTCGCAGAAATTTACGTAGTTTACTCATTGAAGCAAATGTCTTTTCTATTGAGCATGTGTTCATCAAATTCAGGGAAAATAATGGTCTCTTTATAATAGGATGTTTTTACATACCACCTCATTCCTCATTCAGTGTTTTTTCTGAAGTGTGTAATATCATAGAAGAGATACATGATAGATATAATAATGCTGTTCTTTTAATTGTTGGCGACTTTAATTTGCCGTTTCTGACACAGTTTTTTGTTGGTTCAGTCTCACAATTAGAATTAAATGCATCTTTAACAAATCAACAAGAACAAATTGCTTCCCTACTGTTGGACACAACAAACTTTGCCGGTTTATCACAAATAAATAAAATAGTTAATACTTATGGTTCAATTTTGGATTTAATTTTTTGTAATAGTGTAAATTTTACTGTTGAGGTACTTAATGATTCTATATTACCCTTAGATAACTATCATCCATGTTTGTTGATAAATGTTATATTAAATGTTGAAAAATCTATTTTGGATAATCCAAAACAATTCTGGATCATGTGGTTATTCGTTAATTGAACCTTTGTTTATAATTTTTAATAAATCACTAAAATATTGTGTTTTTCCATATGAATGGAAGAAGGGAATCATAGCTTTAACAAATCTTGAAATTTTTATAACCTTTTTAACAGAAAAATTAGAAAAGGGACTGCAAGTTGACGTCATCTATGCTGATATATCGAAGGCGTTTAATAAAGTGGACCATAATATACTTATAAATAAAATGAAATCACTGGGCATTTCTGATAATATTGTTCTCTTTTTCAAAAATTATCTTTCTGACAGGTATCTGGTGGTAAGGGTTGGTGGTGAATTTAGCGATCCTTTTTTAGCAACCTCTGGGGTATCATAGGGATCACGTCTAGGTCCCTTAATGTTCATTTTATATATGAATGACATTAAGCGAATATTCAGGCACTCCTCGTTCTTACTTTATGCTGATGACCTTAAGTGTTATAAAGTGATTCATCCGTCTACCTTTCAAAAAGATATGTTGAAATTACAAAAAGACTTAAAAAGACTCCAAAAATGGCGTGTTAAAAATCATTTAAGTATAAACATTAAAAAGAGTTACGCTGTCACCTTATCGAAAGGTAGTGTAAATTTATATTTAAACAATTACACTATTGATGGTCATATTTTGGAGAGAGTAGAGAGGCTGCGTGATAATGAGATGTGCCTCTGCTTTTCATAACTTGTTAACCATCAGGACTTTGTACCTGACGCTTGTCAGAACAATTATAGAATATGCATGTATCATTTGGTCGCCTTTCTACGTCTTCCATATAATCAGAATTGAACGTGTTCAGAACAAGTTCCTAAGATGTGCTGCGAGATTGCTCAATATCCCCTTTGATTTGCATAGGTACACATGATTACAG